CCACCCAGCTTGATATTCTCCACCCAGCATTTTGTTCTCCACCCACCTTGGTATTCTCCACCCAGCTTGATATTCTCCACCCAGCATTTTGTTCTCCACCCACCTTGATGTTACCAACCACCTTGATATTCTCCACCCAGCTTGATATTCTCCACCCAGCTTGATTTCGCCACCCAGCTTGATATTCTCCACCCAGCATTTTAATCTCCACCCATTTTGATGTAACCACCCATTTTGATATTCTCCACCTAGCTTGATATTCTCCACCCAGCTTGATTTCACCACCCAGCTTGATATTCGCCACCCAGCATTTTGTTCTCCACCCACCTTGATGTTACCACCCACCTTGATATTCTCCACCCAGTTTGATTTCGCCACCCAGCTTGATATTCTCCACCCAACATTTTGTTCTCCACCGACTTTGATGTTACCACCCACCTTGATATTCTCCACCCAGCTTGATATTCTCCAGCCAGCATTTTGTTCTCCATCCACCTTAATGTTACCACCCGCCTTGATATTCTCCACCCAGCTTGATATTCTCCACCCAGTTTGATTTCGCCACCCAGCTTGATATTCTCCACCCAACATTTTGTTCTCCACCCACTTTGATGTTACCACCCAGCTTGATATTCTCCACCCAGCTTGATATTCTCCACCCACCTTGATGTTACCACCCACCTTGATATTGTCCACCCAGCTTGATTTCGCCACCCAGCTTGATATTCTCCACTCAACATTTTGTTCTCCACCCATCTTGATGTTACCACCCAGCTTGATTTCTCCACCCAGCTTGACTTCGCCACCCAGCTTGATATTCTCCACCCAACATTTTGTTCTCCACCCAGCTTGATTTCTCCACCCAGCTTGATATTCTCCACCCAGCTTGATATTCTCCACCCAGCTTGTTATTCTCCACCCACCTAAAATTCCACCACTTCCCTGTATCCACCACCCACTTCAGAATCCACCATGCACTTAAATTTTCACCACCCACTTTAAATTCCACCATCTCTGTATATCCACCACCCACCTGTGTCCTCCACCCACTTATGTCAACCACCCACCTGTGTTCTCAACCCACCTAAGATTCCACCACCCACCATATCCAAGACCCACCTGTGTCCACATAGGTTCCACCACCCACCTGTACACTGTATGGTGTGCCACCCATTATACACACCACCCACTGACCTTTTGTATGCTCCTCCACCCAAAACTAAATCATATAGTATGCTTCCAGTATTTAATCATTCATCCTCCACCCTCAGTAATTGCCGCCAATTGCCGCCAAACACCCAGCCAGCGCCCTTCCCAACCCTGATTAAGTATTAGCTTTGTTGAGTCCTATCTAATAAAAATGTTGATAAAAATGGTTCATTTTGGATCTTTAAGCTATTGAAGACACTTCCTAAAGGATAGTATGGTTTAAAATAATCTAAAATAATTATTTTCTCAGTTTTTGACTAATGAAATCCAAGAGGGGGGTGTTCAGTGATATTGGATTTCTAGGCGCCCCTGTTGATTGTTGTATTCTGGATTGTTCGGTATATGAGTGAACAGTCCCTTGAATCCAACAGGACGCCAGAGAGATCAGTACATCCCGGACCACTGCAGAGTAGACACAAGTCACACTGCACATAGCCGTCCAGGGACCTGTGCTATATACAGTGCACAGACAGCTTACAGAGAGAACCCTTCCGGACGAGATAGAAGAAGATGAACCGGGTTCCCGTCATCGTGTGGAACCCTGCCTACCTAGAAGAACTGGAACCAGATGGAGGAGTTGTTCCAGTAGACCCTGATACCTTCATAAGCGGGAACTCGCAGATCATCACTGCTCCGGCCTCAGAGGATGGAGATGTATTTGAGGAAGTTGTCGAGGACAAAGATGAGAAGCAGGATGATGAAGATCTACCCCAGTCGATGAAGGATATGTATGATTTCCTTGGAGAACTATCTGAGAAGATCCAAACCTTCAACAGCACCATGAAGAGGAGTACAAACCCTGGTCAACCACCAGTGGTCCCAGATGATGTCCCAACTTCAGATGATGAGGATGTGATTGATGATGTCCCAGAGGATACTGAAGAGGATACTAAGCAGGTACTCCAGGATGCAGTCCAGAGTCTATCAATTTTGAATGATGGACTCAGGAGTGTATTGTCCCTTAGCTGGGACACAAGCTCGCCACAGCATACTGATGTCCACGGAGTTGATATCTGGGACACAGGGAAGGCTATAGAGCGAGAGTTCAGGCTATTCCCCAACCCGACCAGGAAAGGGTTGAAGGACCAGCTTGAGAACCAAGTATGGAACCTGCTTCAGCTCATACAGGAACGAGTTGATCAGGGAACCTACAATGATACAGATATGAGACTTGTAGATGGGTTGCATGTCATATCTGTCCTACATGCTAGGCTCGGTATTCTAACTGAGACAGCACTTAAACATAGAGCTAAGAGACCTTAAGAATACCAAGGGATCTAAAGCTAATGTAAACTATTATTATCATTATGTGATTTATGTGTGCATATATAAATGTATGATTACATGTATCAATGACGTCATAATGACTTTATTACTTGGGTGTTTAGATTTGCATGTGCATTCAGACATATAAGGCTATCTCTCTATATATAGAGATAGCTGAAGTGTTGTAATGCCAGGTTGCAAAGATATAGACGGTGCATGAGGAGTTAGTCCCGCAAGAAGGACTAACCCGATCTGCAATGTCATCAGGTTACACAAATGATAGATGAAACAAGTTAGAGTACTTGAGCAAAATCTCATTAAGTGTGAATTTTAAGATACCAATTTATTGCACGTTCTGTGGTTCGAGAATACCACAATTGGCGCAGTGAAAGGTGTTTCTTTATGCCTAATTTGGGTTTTATATGACTAAATCCGAATTTTAATAAAGAACTTAAAATTAGAACCTACACCCCTCCTCCTTTTTGCACCCCCTCAATCTTTATATTTTTGAAAGTTTGGGGGATAGAAAGGCAATTAGACAGAGAGTGAAATAAAGTAATAAAACTTTCAAACATAAAGCTTGTTTGGGTTTGAGTTAGCCATAAATCCGCTTTGTAACAGTTGGAAGATATTTTAAAATTCTGACTTTACAAATTGGGTAACGGACTCCAAACCCCCCCCCCCCACCCTTCCTCTCTTATAAATGAAATGTAGAAAATTGAAATTGAATACAACAGTTAAAATTAGAAAATTGTTGATTAGTTCAAGACTAAATTTTATCTACATTCTTTAAATTGCCATATTAACAATTAATATGCTGAAAACGCGTTTGAAATTTATAGAATGCGTTTAAGCAGAAATTAATTACATATTGTTAATTCTATATTACCGAATACATATATAAAACGTACACAGTACATAGTACATAGTACATATCATGTAGTACATAGTACATAGTACATAGTACATAGTATAATTCAGTTGTACTGGCAAAAGGAGATGCCCCCCCCAGGGGGATGGCAGGGGGATGAGCAATGCAATAAATTTTCATTAGTTAAGCTATATTGAATATTGAACCCTAAAAACAGCTTGGCCTCAATATTTGAAAATTTTAGCTGAATGACTATTGAAAACGTGCTGAATTTGAAAACAAAGAGCTGAGTCAAATCCATAGCCATAAATTATGGGGCCAGACTTAGCTTGGTATCGAACCCAAGGTTAGGAGGGTTAACACCCCCTGTACCCTCCGGAAAATATGTGCAGAGCTGCGGGTGGAAACTGTACCAACCAATAGCGTAGGGGAATACACCCGGCTCCGTCTGTAGCAGAGGTGTATTATCTTTTCCACCAATAGGAATAAGATCTACACCCAGTACTGTTTGGACCTAAAGCGCAATATTCAACCAAGGGTGGAGATAAGCACACTAGAAAAATGGGAAAGATTGCTCATTCTAATTCTAACCAGGAGAAGAAAAGGACTTCAGGTATACCCCGGACTTAAAATATTTAGACAGACGGACTGACAGTTAGTTACTCCGTAAGAATAGTTAAGTACCTATAGCGTAGGGTAGATAGAAGTCTCTAGACCACTCCATCCTAGAATAAGATAGTGAAAATATTTAGTTGTTTTGTACATAGTCTCCGGTTTACAAAAACCAGAAACTACCAGTTACTTGGGTTTTAACAAATCCCTG